ATCTTAATCTAGACCGACTGTGTACCCTATCTGTGCCATACAGCAACACTCCTTAACATATATATTTATTTTTTGCCTTCCGACAATTACTACAGATAGATGTACCTCAGAAAACTTTCACTTAATGTCTCATACTCTACATGAATATTTAACCAATACGAAGTACAACAACATACATATGTAGGACTTATTTCTACTGTCACTTACATCGTAAAAATATCTCCTCTTCAATTTGAAATAAAACCAATGACAATCCTCATGCCATCCTACATGCGTTCGTAAGCTTGCTAAATTACTACTGCGTTGATGTCCTCTTGTAAAAAAAGCTGAATGAAATCCAACAAATGCTTTGATCCATGCTACATCTCCGTGTTGGAAAAGCCCTTTCTTCTCCGTTCATGATAACATCTTACTTACCCTATTCTACGCAAATCTGTCACATCTACTCTCAAACAAGACGCCAACTTCAAACGAACGCGTTCTACGATGCGTCTACACTTTACGATCGACTTTTTATGTATGTCTGCATTTATCTGCAATAAATTGTCGGAGGGCAACCAAAATAATACTAGTAATACTGGGTCTACACTCCATCCCGATATCATTGGCGTTGACTGGTTCGAGGTCGATCTTGTTCTCCTGTTTTCGGCGTCTTGACGCCCGCGCAATGCGACCTTGTACCTCTGCACTCGCCGAGATATGGCCACCTGTGTGTGTAGCCACCCAAACGATCTGAAGAAGTATTGTTGTTGTTGTTGTTGTTGTTGTTGTTGTTGTTGTTGTTGTTGTTGTTGTCTTATTCGATATACTCGTAGCATAGCATGCGGGTGGTATATTGCGTATACATATTCGGGTATTGCAGTGACGAACTACAGAGGAACAAGAAGTTTCTTTATGTTTTCCTTGGGAGTGTGGTTGGTGTAGATTCATGAAGATTCGTTTTGGGTGTTTGAGCGTTATGCGTGACTTGATGCCGTGATGGTTTGACGAGCACGAGCACGCCCCCGATTAAGACAACAAACACGGATACAACACGTTTCCCAACACGTTTTTACCCATCCACGCCCCGTCATGGGCCACCCGCTCTAAACTCCAAGCACATAGAACTGGGTCACCCGAATTATCGATCACGCTAGCGTATGACACGTCGTCTACGAGATTCGCGGTCGAGCTTGGTATAGGAGTATCGCTTTGCGGCGATCGAGAGCAGGGTCAAGATGGCTACCAGGCGCGAAGATGGAGCCCGCCAAGCAGCGGAGGCCCGCTAAGCAGCGGAGGCCCGAAGATGAAGCCCGGCAAGCAGCGGAGGACGCCAGGATCGAAGAACAAGATAGATCCCGCAGCGTCGACAAGAGCGCGCGGTTTGAAGCTGAAGNGTTTTTTGTCTTGTCTTGTCTGAATCGTTTCCTGTGTTTTGAGTTCTGCGAAACGATCTAGGGCCGACGCGAGAGGATGAGGAGGGAGGGGAGTGGCCGGTGAGGGAGGCCATCGGCAGCATGATGTGGGTGTCGACTTTCTCGCGTCCAGACGTCTCGTTCGCCGTGCGTGCGGTAGCGCGCCACGCCCACGCACCGGCGAAGCGGCACTGGGATGCCATACAGAAGATCCTCGGCTACCTGAAAGGGACGAGGGACCTCGGCATCACCTACCAACGGGGATCGGGGTTAGGGCTGGCCGTGTACGTAGACGCTAGCTACGCCGACACGGAGGATAGGCGTTCGGTGTCAGGGTTGGCGACGACGGTTGGAGGTACCGTAGTCAGCCATGGTAGCAAGACGCAGAGCATCGTGTCTTTGTCTGCGACGGAAGCCGAGTACATTGCTGCCGAGGACGGCGTCAAGGAGGCGTTGTTTGTGCGTGCTGTGCAGTCGTTTGTTGTCCCAGAGACCAGTGGTAGCAGCATCCAGGTCCTTGAGGACAACCAGGGGGCCATAGCGTTGGTGCAGAACCCTCTCAGCTCAGGTCGCACGAAACACATCGACGTGCGGTTTCATTTCATCCGCGGATTGTTTAGGTCGGGGGATATTTCGGTCAAGTTTGTCCCGACAACGGAGCAACACGCGGACCTCCTCACCAAGGCCCTTAGCAGGGCCAGTCTGCAGTATCACCGGCGCAAGCCGACGAATTTGCCGGAGTAGCTGTAGCAGTTACTAGCACTTGGGAGAGGTCATGTTTTCCATGCGGGAAAAGGCGCATAACTGTTGCGGTCTGTGTACCAATGGCAGGAGAAGGGGGCGTTGGGAGACCATCGTCCGGGGGAACGTAGTTCCTCGCGTTTCTGTCTTCGCCTTGGCCTTTCAATTAGTGCGGCCGTTATGATCCGCTGTGATAGCGACGGTTTTTGTGGTGGTAGGGTTTCTTTTTTCTTGAGGGGTTTTGCCCGGACGCCGGGTTTCCCCTCCATATATTACCATCTTGGTATTTTCTGATGTATCCAGGGGCGTTCTTGCCCAATTGATGGTTAGTCACTTGCGTGAAGAACCAGGGAGGGTGTTCGTGGGTCTGCGAACATTGTTGTTGGATACATGTGCTGGATGATTTTTTGTCACGCAGACTGGTAAGATAACCGTTTGGTAGGGGGCACCGCGATGATTCACGGGGCCCCTCCTTGCTGTGGGAGCCGCTCTTTGAGTACTCCCTCTTTCGTCCGTGTGAAGGACGGTCGTCGACCTCTCGTGAAGCTAATACATCACCAAGGCAGTCTCACCCGATATATAAGTGGCGTAGGCCGCAAACATCTAGCACTCTTGGGTTGTTCTCCCTGGGGCGAGGGGTCTGCTTCTCCCCTGTTACGGGGGTATTCTCTAGTGTTCCCACTAGGTCCTTCTCTGTCTTTGTCTCCAATACACGTATTGGGTCTAGCACTCTTGCGATCTTGTCCCTGGTGCGAGGGGTCTGCCTCTCCCCTGTTACGGGGGTATTCTCTAGTGTTCCCACTAGGTCCTTCTCTGTCTTTGTCTCCAATACACGTATTGGGTCTAGCACTCTTGCGATCTTGTCCCTGGTGCGAGGGGTCTGCCTCTCCCCTGTTACGGGGGTCTTCTCCAGCGTTCACGCCGGGTCTATTCTCTTCTCCCGTGTTACGGGGGTCTTTCCCTCTCACTTGTTCAAGTCTAGCACACGGTTGTCCTCCTTGGTTAGAGGGATCCATTAGCGCTGGTTCTGCAGTAATTTCATGTTCATCACTATTGGTGCGTGAATTACTTTGGCTGGTACTTCTAAAAGTACACGGTTGTTCTCATTCTTGGTGAGATTGGCCTATCAACTCTGGCTCTGCAGTAAGTTCATGTTCCTCACTATTGGTACTAAATTTACTCGGGCGGGTACTTCTTCTCTCACCGTAGACCACGTTCGGTGCCACCAACCCGGGAAGAGGCGCTTCAGTTAGCGCCACGGTCCTGCTCCTGTCTACAAAAGCTGCTACCGTGGTGCCACCCGCCCCCCTCAGCCGCGTTGACCCCACCTCTGGATGGGGCCCGTATTGTCAGGAGTTGGTTCCTGTGGCCTGTAGTTGTTGCTGTAACGGGCGACCACGGGGCGTGATGTGGCGGGGGCGGGGGCGGGGGCGGGGGCGGGGGCAGGAGCAAGGGCGGTCGCGGGGGCGGGGGCCCGGGCTGGCGCTGTGGGCGGCGGACCGGGCGGCGGACCGGGGGGGGCGACGCTGGGGTGAACCTGTACGTGGTTGAGGGTGCAGTGCGGGCGGGTGCACTTTTGCCCTTTCCAGTGGGAGTGACACGCGCGGTGGGGGGTTCCCCACTTGAGGAGATCCTGCTGGAACGAGGACAGTGTCGCCACCGCGTGTTGGTTGGCGACGGGTGCGGCGGTTATGCGCGGGCGGGATACTGTATGTCTGCTCGTGGTGCTGCTCGCTGACGCTTTCCTCTTCTGTGGCTGCGGGAGCCCGGCCAGGCCGTTGTTAAGTTTTCCGACGATGGCGTTGGCGCTGCCTTCCGCGGTGAGATGCGCAGCCGCGAAAACGCGGGGGGGGGGACGGGTTGCACGTCGTCGTCTGCCGGCGGGGAGATGTCGTGGTCGGCGCGGGTCGCGACGCCAAGGTCTGAGATGTTCCCGAGATACTCGTTGATGTCGGTGTTGGTGTCGGTGATCAGGCGCGTCTTCACCGCTGCTTCTTGACCCGTGATCTCCGCCGAATGAAGGATGAGGTAGTCCCGGGCGTTGGACACAACGCGGCTGACTTCGGCTTTCAACTGTTGCCTGCGACCGGTCGATGGTTCGCCTGCGGCGTGTGTGCTGTGGTCCAACACGGCGAAAAATGCTTTCACGAACGTCTCGAGGTGAACGATGAAGTCACGTGGCTGCGGGGTCCACCCCGTAGGCAGGGGTGGGGAGAACTTGGCGATGTCGACGTTGGCGAGGGTCATCAGCGAATCGATCATTTCGGCGTCGGGATAGGCCACTCTGCGCAGCAGCTGGGCGATTGCGTTCTTTGACAGCGTGGTGCTAACGAACCACCCGCCGCGAAGCAGAAGCAGCGTCGCTGCGGACTCGTCTCCCCATGCCTTGGTATCGCGGCGAAACCTTTCTTTCTGTACGTGGGTGTTGAGGGCCTGGTTCGACACGTTAATTTTGGCCCAGAGCTTGCGCTTGCTGAGGCTGTAGCACGAGCTGGCCACCTAGAGGGAGATTGATGGGCTGGGGCTGACCTCGCTGCTGGAGGCCGCCAGGGGGGAGGTGGCCAGGCTGCTGCTGCTGCTGCTGCTGCTGCTGCTGCTGCTGCTGCATCCTGAGCTCCAGGTTGCCGAGTCGGTCGTGTTGCTCTTTAAGCAGTACAGACATCTGCAGCAGTAGCTGGGCAGGGTTGATGGGGGGAGGTNGTTGCTCTTTAAGCAATACCGACATCTGCAGCAGTAGCTGGACAGGGTTAATGGGGGGAGGTGGGCCTCCCAGCCCGGCTGGCGCGGCTCCGCCCGCGTTCTGGTCTCCTCCTCCTGCTGCCGGAGGCGCGTTGTTGTGTCCCGCCGCCTGTTGGTTTCCCGCCGCCCCTGCTGGCTGGTTTCCCGCTGCTATTCCTTGTCCGCCACCATGGCGAGCTGCCGCTACTGCTCCTCCTCCGCCGCCGCTGCTCTGTGGTTGGTTAGCTGCGGGCGGTGGTCCACCTGGAGGCGGCGGTGGAGGCGGTGGAGGTTGCGCTGGCTGCGCTGGCTGCCGCTGCTGGGGGGGACCCTGACCCTGCTGCTGCAGG